GTGTGTATCCTTTTGGGAAAACTTTAAATCTGTTTTTAGAATGTGTTGAATATTGGTGGAGGGGGCTACATAGGCTTTTAAAAATGTTGCATTTGAGTCCTTGTCCTGCATCTGCCTGCCCTCATGCTGCTGCACTTGTTGCTGCTGGGTTATTTTTAATATATTTTTTAGTTCTTTCTAAGTGGGATAGCGATGGTATGACATGCCTGATGGGGGAAAGCCCAGATCGGATTGCAAATGTTCACTGGAGCCAAGACATGCGCTAGGAGACAGAGAAAATCACACATACACAGGGGGGCAGGGTGAAGACAGAGAGTGAGGGATCCAGGACAGGAGCGGGGCTGGTGAGACTTGCAAGCCAATAGGGAGAGAAAGGTCACAAAACAAAATCTACCCTTCAGACAATTTTAGATATAGTGAGATCCCACAACGAAGAGGTGAAATTATTCAAGGAGCAGTTAAAGAAGGACTATAGTCAACAGGAGACAGGGAATAATGAACAAGGAAATGAGATGGCGGTGGATGATGTATGCCAATCAAAGGAGGGGCTGGAGGAAATTAGAGGAGAAAACCTAGGAGATTTAATTCTAAACCTGAAGCCAAGGAGAGTTTTAGGTGTGCTAAGGGAAGAAAAGGGGAGAGAATCAGCAGATCTAATTAAAATATTCTGGAAGATCTATTGGAGATAGAACAAATGTTCTCAGGTGGCACAAGGCATGGCAGAATTTTTAGAGAGATAGAAAAAAATAGGGAAAAGACAAGTAAGAGAAGGAATTACTTAGAAATATGAAAAAGGGGAAAAAAATTAAGGTGGCCTTCAACGTTGAAAGCATGTATGTACCTAACTTCTGGAACTGTAAGGGGGAATGGCATATCTTATATATTAGAAAAGGGAATTAAACTGAAATAAGGGATCATTAATCAGGGTAAAGGCATGAGACGTTGGTTCTTAAGGTAAATTGAAGCTAGATATAAGGATGAGGTAAAACAAATAGTACTTAATGAACATATTAGATATGATATTGATATAGACATGATAGAAAATGTGGAGAAAGAAATGGCTAAACAATTATATAAAGAAAATCTGTATAAAATGCTTTAGATAACATCTATTATGTGTTAGGAACCTATTCGGTTATTAATGGTATAAAATACAAAGTTCATCAGTTAAATCACCTCAAAATTATATAATTTTGGAACTGGAATTACTTGTATTACATATGTTATTACAGGAGTTGGGAAACATTATATACTATGAGAGCAATATTATTATAGTAGCCAATACTGTATACTAAAATACACACATGAATATTTTAAACATTTAAAAAATGTATAGATTTTGAATGAAGGGACAACTACGAAGATACCAAGATGCAAAAAACAAATAATTATAAGCAACCCATGTAACACGATGTTTAACAAGCACGAATTGAGTGTAGATAGATTGAGAAACTAATAAAATGTCTTTTTTAGAAAAGAAAGAAATAGGAAGAACCTAGTAGTCTCCTGAGAGCTTCTGTTTTGAAAAAGACGCTAATCAGAGCTAGGCCTACACTTAACCACAAAGTCTTCCAGGCTTTTCTCCCAGGTGAACCGTATTTAGCTGACTGTTAAGTGTCTGTCTCTTACAGATAGATATTGTGATGGACTAAGACTTTGGAGAACAGGGTTCAAGTCCCCATTTGGCCATGGAAACTCACTTGGGGAGTAAAACTGGTAAAAACCACTCCTTAAAATATCTCACTTACCTTGAAAACCCTAGGATCACTATAAGTTGGTTCTGACTACGCACAGAACACACATAAGTGTCTGTCAGGACTCCCAGAATGGAGAATTATGTGCTTTGCAGTTTAAAAAAATGAATGGTGCATCCCTAGACTACATTCTAGTAATGGGTGGTACCAAGAGTCAAAGCCAAAGTGGGCAGAGTTCACAAAGGGGAAAAAGTCTGAGACTAGGTTGATGTTCACCTACAGCCCTTAGGCTACAAACTCCTCATTCAGCACTATGCAAGTCTGAGACTAGGTTGATGTTCACCTACGGCCCTTAGGCTACAAACACCTCATTCAGCACTATGCTAAATATCAAACTTAAGATGGTGCAAAATTGCAGATGACTCTCTGAGGCCATTAAACCGATCTGCTTCAAATCCATTTACAGCTGAAGATCTTTTAACCAAAATGGAACAAAAACGGCCTGTTACGGGATTAATCGGTTTTCAATGCACTGTAGGTCAATGGAGACTTGACTTACAGACTTTTTGACTTGAGAACCGCCTTCCAATACGGATTAAGTTCTCAAGTCAAGACCCCACTGTATCAAACTTAAGATGATGCAAAATTGCAGATGACTCTCTGAGGCCATTAAACCAATCTGCTTCAATTCCATTTACAGCTGAAGATCTTTTCCTTATTAATTGTATCTGGAGATGAGCACTTGATTCTTCTATATAAGCAGCACACTTTTTTTGCTTTGCTTATTAATTGTATCTGGAGATGAGTACTTGATTCTTATACTTCTTTTTTTTTCAAACTAGTTCTCTGCATGACGTAAGAAACACTCCTTTCTGTCCATTACAGGGTCTCATAATTTATTGTCTCTTCATAGTTATAAAGGCTAGATGCCTATAATTTTATAGAAACAACTGGATCTTCAGCTGGAGTCTGTGGGTCAATTTCTATGAGACTTTAAAAACGTTTAATGGTATGGCAAATATTACCCAAACATGTGTTGGTCACACAAACCCAATTCAAGCATTCATGAAAATCAAGAGAAAAGGAGAGGGCACTGTTCTCCTGTATTGTACTCTCTACATGGTTTGAGGGATTATTCTCATAGGTAATTCCATGAACAAGACAATAGTAGTACACTAAGTCAGTGGTATAGAAACTTGTGACTGAATGCGTAGACAAACATTTTTTACATGTGGAGCCTCTCCACATGGTCAGGGATCCCAGTTCTTCAGGGTTCCTGGAGTGACAACTGTGTCCATGTATAGCAGAGGTGGCCCTCTTCGGACTGTTTCTCTCCACAGGGGACTAACACACTCCTCTCTTCACATCCACATTTTAAACCTTATAGTGAAGATCTGAATAGCACCAGACATCTTTACATCTGAACAAAAGTCTTGTATGAACCACTTACAGCCCAAAGTTTCCAACTTCAAAATCAGGGTGGATAAAGATAAAAATTAGATTGATTTAATAATGATTCAAACTTTAAAAACAGATTTTTAAAATTTAAATCTTGCTTTAAATCGATTTAAATCGAATCCACCCTGTTCATAACGACAGTCAAGTTCCCAGCACTCACCCAACTTTCAAGTGTTCACGTATTCACTACGCATGATAACTGTGAATAACCATGGGGCATGTCACAGCAGCAGCTTCAGTGGCGCATGAAAGCCTGTCTTGCTACAAGGCAACTGACACATCCTTACCAAGGAAAGGTTAATTATTCACCTAAGAGCAATTTGAAGTGATCTAAACCCAATCTGTTGCATCTGAAAGTAATAAGCTAAAACCACAAACATTTTTAAATCATCTTCACTGCTTTAAAGTAGTCATCTTGCTAGACAGGGCCTGTTCTTAGTCATTCCAAATTTAATATAACCAGATTTGCTTGTGTGAAAAGGAACTGGCAACCAGAGCTACTAACAAATACTGCACATTTATATTATAAGGATTAAAATGCCATAGTATTTTAAGCTAGCAGAAAGAACAAAATGTCTCTTAGCACAACGGCTAGCTAGAAATTCTTATATTCTGGCGCTGTCAGCAATGTGATCCCACCCAAGTATACTGAGTAACAGATGATTCAAGGTGCATGAGCACAAAACCATAAGCATATACATACAGTTACTACAATTATTTATTATCCTCCTAAAAAAGAGGGGTGGGAGAGGCGAGAAAATAATAAAATGGGAGAGAGAAAGGATCTCAAGAATCCGATGTATACCACATGTCTAAAGGTTAACATAAGTGCAATGATGTGAACATGCTCTCTCCATGTCCAACCATATATAGAGGGCCTCTCACTAGCAATCCCATCAACCATTTTTCAGAACTTAGAAGAGGGAAAAATAAAAAGAAGCAAAGGGAAAACCTGTTTCTGACTACTGGAAGCTTTAGTAACTGGTCTAATGACACTGTCATTTCAGCTACTTGAATTTTTATTATATACTGTAGTTCACACACACACGCACACACCATGTGCAGGATTATCACTGGCTGCCTGAAACCTACCCCAATCGAAAAAGTCCATTATTTGGCAGGCATTGCCCCTCCAGAAGTACATCGAGAGGTGTGAGAAAATAATAAATGAAGGTAATATGGCACCAAACCCACTCACTTCATGGAAATCAATCCACCCAGAAGGTGGCTAAAATCTCACATCTCAAACTCTAAATATTAAACCAATGTGAAATTTAGAACCATCAGAGAAGCAGAACGTAGCCAAGCATGCTGTCTCAGAGTGATACTTGCTGCCTCATTTTTGGCAGCACCATAGGCCACATGGTGAGCAGAATGGATCTCCCGTCCTGCTAAGGAACAGGACTCATGTTGAAATGAGAGACAACATTTTCTCATCTGCAGGCAGGCGACTAATGATGGGCTGAAATGCGAAGTATTGCTAAGGAATAAACCTTTCTAACTAGTATATCTAGCTTCTTTCCTTCTTTGTTTGCTGAAGTGCCACACAATATATGTTTTGATTCCATTTGTGCTGTCTGTACTACAACAGAACTTAGGGTGGGATGTTTGAAGAATGTTTTCGGTCCATCCTGCTGTACTCTCCAAAAAAAAATTCACTCCACCTAGATGTTGGAGGGATTGAGAAAGGTTTCTACCAAGACTGACTTATCAGATCAGTCAGCATTTCTACTATGGTCATCTCTATGGGCGTATTTGTTTTCCTTTGAATTCTCGCAAAATTGAGTCTATCTGACTAAATTCATTTCAATACTGGTAGTATAACGACTTTGCCATCGTCTCTATCAGATCATTATAGGAAGAGAAATCCTCTGAGAGTGACAACGGAGCAGTATTTTGTACATCAGATTCTGGTGAGGACTCTAAGATTAATCCATAATTTTAATTCTGTTGTAGATGCATTGCCTGAGGTAACTTCACTAAAGAGGTAGATAGTTCAGTCTCCTTCAATTTCGAAGGCTGTGCCTTGGATGTATCCAGTTTCTTGGGGGGGGGGGAATGACAACATATTGTGTTGATAAGGAGGCTCATTGCTCATCCCTTGATGTTTTTCATCTTGATTTTGAGCAACCCTGATGGGCATAACATGCTTTGGAATCATCCCAGTGGTCATGATAGCATAAGAATCTTTCTGAAGACCATGGTCTGCTTCTACGAGGTGGTGATGGCCAGCCAAGATTTCCATACAAACAGAGTGGAGGGCAGAAGAAGGGAGCATAATACTGATTCTCCCGATATCTGGAGCAGACTGAAGGAGATCTTGAGAAGTGCTAATGATTCAGCAGCTATTTTGAGGCTGACTGTGATCTTGATCTCCTCTTATATCTTGGAGGTGTATGAAGACATGAACTGTGAGGACTGGTACGGCATTGTCCTCAATTTCGATTGTCTTATCACAACTGTCGGAATAGGAGATCATAACCCAGGAGAACTCAAAGATGGTGATTTCAGAGAGGGGATAGGGATATTCTGAATAGAAGGGTTACCGAGTTTACCCTTCGAGACCAAGCCAACATATTGCATCATGCTGAAACAATTCTGGGTCTCTCACAGGGAAAGGTACCTCCGAAGAGCCAATATGTTACATATCATGTTGGAACAATTTTGGGATCCCAAAGGGACAGGAGTCACCTCAATATCAAGTTGCCATAAGACAGTAATGGAACTGCAGGAAATTGGGTCCAAGAATTCTAGTATTTCCATTTGTTTTTCAGGAATGCTAGGCTTTATAAGGGACGTGGTGGCACTGCGGGTTAAGCCGCAGAAGCCTCTGTGCTGCAAGGTCAGAAAACCTGCAGTCGTAAGATCAAATCCACGCGACAGAGTGAGCCCCCGTCGCTTGTCCCAGCTTCCACCAACCTAGTAGTTCGAAAGCATGCAAAATGCTAGTAGATAAATAGGTACCACCATGGTGGGAAGGTAATGGTATTCCATGTCTAGTCGTGCTGGCCACGTGACCACGGAAGATTGTCTTCGGACAAACACTAGCTCTATGGGTTGGAAAGTGAGATGAGCATTGCCCCCTAGAGTCGTACACAACTGGACAAATTGTCAAGGGGAACCTTTACCTTTTAGGCTTTATTGTTGTGGCTTGCTTTGCAAGCAAATTGGTTGCCTTAAAGGATTTTTCCCAAAGGAAAGGTATTAAACGGGACTAAACAGGAGCCTCGTGGCGCAGTGGTTAAATCGCTGTACTGCAGCTAAAACTGTGCTCACTACCTGGGGTTCAAATCCCAGGTAGCCGGCTCAAGGTTGACTCAGCCTTCCATCCTTCCGAGGTCGGTAAAATGAGTACCCAGCTCGCTGGGGGGGGGGCAATGTGTAGCCTGCATAATTAAATTGTAAACCGCCCAGAGAGTGCTTGAAGCGCTATGGGGCAGTATATAAGCAGCACGCTTTGCTTTAATGATTTTTCAGTGTTAGTTTAGTGAAATTCTTACAAGATATACAGAAAAGACATACATCATCATGACCATTGGACTAGGGGATTTTTGAGCCACAACTATAAATTAACTGCTATAACTGTGTCTTTGACGATTTTTATACATGTCATATTATTGTGTTTTTATCCATGTAAGCCGCCCCGAGTAGGCATTGTCTAGGGGGGCGGGGTAAAAATCTAATAAATAAATAAATAAATAAATAAATAAATAAACAAACAAACAAACAAACAAACAAACTAGTACACTTTTAAGGCAGAAAAGGCTACAAACTGCCAAAAATGAATGACCTATAAAAGAGGGGGGGCATCTACTCTAAGGAAATAACTCTAGTTTTGTTTTGCTTTGTTTTAATAGGAAAGAGGCAAAAATAGGAGAAATAAGGTAAGTAAAGGCACTTACCTAAACAGTATTGCTGCTATGGTGGAAAAGAAAGGACTAAGGAGAGTGGGATGCACATCTGTGGTAGAGGCTGAAGAACAGCATTCAGTAAGAGGCTCTGGAACTTTCCAAGATGCTGTTCATGCAGGTGCAGAATCCATTTGTGTGAAAACTGTGTTTTCCCGTAAATAAGACCTAACCTGAAAATAAGCCCTAGTGTGATTTTTCAGGATGCTCGTAATATAAGCCCTACCCCCAAAATAAGCCCCAGTTAAGTAGAACCCCATCCTCCACCACTGTGCAGCAACCAGAAGATGATGACATGATTGTAAAATTAAACATCCCCTGAAAATAAGCCCCAATGCATTTTTGAGCAAAAATTAATACAAGACCCTGTCTTATTTTTGGGGAAACATGGTACATGGAGACCACAATGAAGAACTATACTGTTAAGATAACTGCAAGTTGGATGGATGTGACTTGGTAGCACATAACATAAAGCAAGAGTGGCCAATTTCTCTGGTCTGTGGTCATTTTCACCCTCGTGTGAATGTCTGCAGGTGTCAGCTATACCCTCAGGATAGCCAACATCCCACCTACCCACCAAAACCAAATCTTCCCTAGTCACATTCCAAGAGTCTCTGGCTATGTCACTCACCATTTACAGGCTATTACTGTACAGGAGTATATGGGTGAATTTAGGGCCTCAAATACTCTTTTAAAAGGGCTACAGAGGGCTTAAAAATAACTGGATAGCCTTTAAATGGAGGCTTCTGGGAATGCAATTAGTCATATTGACACTTTTTTTTTAAAAAAAAGTGAGGTGTCCTGGAAAGATCTGGAGACTGTACTGTATGTCCTGGTGTGTTTGTGTGTGTCACATGTGTTTCATGCGCACCACTAATCTGTGACTAGTTTCATCTTGATCCACCCAGTATATTGTCCAAAATCATCTACTTGAATTAAGGCCAGGGACAATAATTACTCTAGGAACTTCCTGGTTTAAAGGAAGCTTCTATGTCCCATCATCTCAGACTCTGGATTATGACATTTGTACACAGAAAATAAGTATTCTCCAGAATGGGATTTCTTTTGCATACTCACTGCAAAGTGATTTCCAATATGTAAGTATATTATACCTACCAGAACTCTTTCAGCAAAACTGTTTCAATGTCAAAGATCAAATTCTGCCATCTAGACGCAAACCTACCTTCAGACCCTCACCCACCACCTTATTCACTGGCAGCAGAAATAATGCATCACATGGTATCACAATTCGATAAAGACATCAGGGCACATTATAATGGAATATAATCACAGAGGACCTTTCAATATGGCCATGTGTTGAGCAAGAACTTGTTCTCCACAACCCATATATTTCCTCTTGAATTTCTTTTCTTTCTTTCTTTCTTTCTTTCTTTCTTTCTTTCTTTCTTTCTTTCTTTCTTTCTTTCTTGGTTACAGAGATACCTGTAACATATCCAATTTTGCGAAAACAAGGCAAGATGGGCTTCAACCAGTCTCTTGCCTGTACATTTTTAAGCAGTAAAGAAGTCAGCAGAAACAAAGAAAATATCTTGCTGCTATATATTATAAGGGACATTATGCCTTGGGGGAAGCAAAGCACTCACTGGAAAAAGAAATTCTACCCTGTCATTTCCAGATGTAATTGCTCAAGTCTTTTACTGCCAGATAATTACAAACCAAAGGCTTTTACATCCTTTGCTTTTCAAACTGTTTGCATTCTCATCCAAACAAAAACCATTACATCTTCCTAAGACCAGCCCGATGCCCCTTTTCTTCAGGCTAGTTTGTACATTCATGAAATCACCTTCACCTTTAAAGAACTGACAAAAGGCTGTAATCCTGCATATGTACTCAGAAACAGTCGTGTATAGGAGAAATATTACACATGTCTATTTGGATATAAGTTGGAGAGATCTGTGTCCAATTCCTAGGATCATCTGGTAAGAAAAAAGTCCTCATCTGAAAACATGAGGAGCTGCTTCCAGTTAACATCAATAGGATTAAGTTAGATAGACCAATGATTTTACTTGGTGTGAGGCAGCTTTCTATGTTCAGTTCTATGGCTGTTACGGGACTTACAGGGGAACAATCTTACTGAAATCTATATAATTGATTTCCAAATATGTGAAGTGTTATGGGGTTTTTCCCTTACAAAATCTCATACGGAAATGCAATACTATAATAGGGATCTTACAAACAGGTGGACAAAGGAGGTGCAACTTCCAAATGGACAGGGATTGGCCCCAACCACTAAACACCACAAACTCCCTAAGACACAGAGATATGGATGTTATTATCACCAATTAATCCCTCTTCCTTCACACTGTGGAGACTGTTCAAAAAGAAAAAAAAATCCTCAGCCCAAACAAGAGAAGGATGCACCTAGTTTGCACTGCTTTTACTTCCTTCCTCAATGGGATGTTTTGGATTAGCATGAAAGGGTTGTCAGTTTCTGAACTGTGAAAAATCTGTGGTCCTTGGCCAATCTCACTGACCTGCCTGTTCCACAGATATTTTCGAGCTGGGCTGATAAGATGCTTCTCCAGCGAACTGCCCACTCCTACACACTCTGTCTAGAGTTGAGTTTTGCAGTCTCACAAGTGTATGGAGAAAGTACAATCTGCCTGTACCGAATGAACATTTTCTAAGGATATACTGTACTGGGAGTGGGGGATTAAAGATCCATGACAGGAACTGAGCAAATCTTCCTCATGAAAAATGACATATGGCTATGCATTACTTTTAACACTGCTGCCCCTACTCCCACCCCAAGAAACATAGGAACCCACCTTGATCTGAAGGTTGCATCCCACAACCGAGCAACATGAAAGGATAAAATCTGCCAGAATGCAACGGGTTCTGCTGTTACCACCTGCAACCAAATCCTGTATGAAGAACGTCTCTTTACCATAATGCAGAAGGCTATGAGGAATTCCATTCTGGACGGCATACCAGAAGTACAGTCCACAACAATGAAAATAAAATCTCTGTCCCTATCCCAGGTACATGACAAATGAAAAGAAGGGCCACTAACATTTCTGTAAGTGGTGTAGAAGGGCATAAGTATGGCCAGAGACATTTTTTAAAAAGACATCTTTAACAGGTCTAACTGAGGAGTCAGATTTTGGCAGAAGACACAAGGAAACATTTCCAAACTTGCACAGCTGTACACTTTAGAAGGAACCTTGCCCAACACCATAACTGGCAGTGCTACCTGGTCGTGAGAACTCACATTGTGGTTTCACAGAAGTGGGGAACCCTACATGCTTTCCCCCCATACCTCATTATTTTTTCCCATATCTAATTATCCAGTACTATGGGGTCCAAGGAGATAATTTTCAATATTGGTCTTACTACTGCCTCCTTAAAGAAAGCTGGGATTCTACCCTGCTTCAAGAAGGCATTCACTTTATCCCTTGGACCCACTCAGCCAGTCCCTCTCTGGCAGCTTTTATAAGCCATGACGGGCAGGGATCTAGCAGGCAAGAGGTAGCCTCCACCTCTCCAAAGGTCTTGTCCTCATCATCAGGCTACAGAAACTGAAATTTTATCCATCAACACCGGACAAGCAGGACTCATAGTTACATCTAAAGGACCTAATACAGCATCCAAGACAGAATGGATCCGAGCGAGTTTGCCTGCAAAGTGTGGTGCAAATTTTTCACAACACCCCTACTGAGGGGTCAGCACTATCTTCATGTGGGCCATGATTTAACAAGCTGTTGACCACTCAGAAGAGCTCCGCTGGGTGACTTTGTGCAGACGCAATGGTGGCAGCAAAGAATGATTTTTTTTGGCCGCCACCGCTGCCACAAAACAGGCCTTCCAATGGACTCTAGCCCATGTTCACTCAGATGCACTCCGAGTTTTCTGCCATCATCACTCTTGTCTTAGTCCCATTCATTTCATCACCACCAGCAAACCAGATAGTACAGCTAAGAGTCAGTTGGGGTCTACTTTGTGGGAGGGGATGCATAGGAGTGATTTCCCCATTACAGAGATCAACCGGGGCTTCAACAGAATTGCCTGCTGAGGCGACAGACAATTCCCCCAAAGCCACCAGAAACCATTTGGATCCATCAGCCCCTGGGGCAGACCATCTTAATCGGTCCCTCACCCTTGCAGAGGCTCAGCGTTCTAGTGAGTCTAAACCCCACCAGATGATGATCTGTTCATAACCATGGAACTACAGAAAGTTCTTCCACACTCAGATCACCAACATCTACCCCAGTACACAAAAACCAGATCTAAAATGTGCCCTGCAGTGTGTATGGGAGCAGATACCATTTGAGAAAGCTCCATGGTCGTCATGGAGGACATGAAGCCCTGAGCCAATCCTGACAAGGCTGCCTTGGCACAGATGCTGAAATCCCCCAGTACAACAAGTCGAGAAGACTCCAACACCACCCCGAGATCAGATCAGCTAGCTCAGGAAGGAAAAGTGCTGAGCAGCCGAGTGTGTGGTACACCAACAAAATCCCTATTCCAGGCTCTCATTTTCAAACGCATACTCACAAACCTGGAAAACTGGGGGATGTGGCACCACAATAGACCACTGTAACTTCACCTCCCCACTCAACCCAGATCTCGCCTGCTGCTGCACAGACAGCCCTAGTAGACAAAGCTGAGAGAGAGTGATACCCAAAGCTTCATCCAACCAAGTCTCTGTGATTCAAGCCAGATTGGCCTGCTCATCCAGGATGAAGTCCCGGATGGCTGTTGTTTGTCCATTTACAGATCTGCCCTTCAGCAGCAGCAGTTTCAAACCAGGGGCCCTGTAAACACAGCTAGCTATGCTAAGTTTGGTGACAGTTTAAGGGCAACCAATATCCTTTCCCCCTTCTCGCTCACATGGTGCTATGAGTTCCGTCACCCACCATATCTCCACCAGCCCTGAACAATTCCAACAGCTGCTCCCAGATTCCTCCCAGTATTCTCTTTCCCATCAAAACACATCCCTCCCAAAGCAGACGAAGACCAAGTTCGCAATGTCTCCCCAGAGTTGGATGAGACTGTGGGGTGGTGGTGGGGGAAATGTCACAAAAGAACTACGAGGGGATAATTTAGAAAGGCTGTGGTATTTTAAAACTGGAAGGATCAAGAAGTACAAAAAACCCTAATTGTTGAAAAAGTCCGTATAAAGATCTCTTGAGGGCTGGGGGGCTCAGGGTCCACCGCATGACTCCTCCTCCGAGTCCTGTGACTCCTGCGATGCTAAGTGAGCACTTCCTGCGCCACAGAGCCCGTCTTTACCACGAGGGTGCTTTTCGTACCTGCAAGGCAGGGAAAGAGACGAGTCGCGGAGTCCCAGGTACTGCCAAACTCCCACTTCTCCTTCCACCAGCAATGAAACTTTGTTTTACGTTCTAATACTTTGTTTATTGTTTGCCACTCTGAATACATTCTTGTTATACAGGAAAAGTCATGGGTACAATAAAAAAAACAAGAAAGAAAGGTTCCTTGCTTTCTTTGCTTCACCCACGGTATGTCACGGCCTATTCCATTCCATGGATTCCAGAAATGCTTGAAACGAGTCTTTCAGGAACACAGCTCCAGAACACTATAACAGGACCTACTAATAATAACCCACCAAATCAGGAGTTTGTGCATCTATTCATCTTTAGTGTGATATATATGCTACCTTTTCCCCACAGCATTTTACATAAGATAAATTGGCCAGTCTCTGAGGAAAAGAATAAATATTAGACCAAAAATATTTAAAAATTAATGGGAGAACACTTCAGTCCCTTGAAAAATTAACCTATGGCTTCTGTGATAGAACTTAAAACTTAATTTTTTCCTTGTCTTTTTTCTTTTTTGCAGGATCAACTGACTGCAGTGGAGCCTTAGTGGAGGCTGACTTGGCTGGTTTGAGAGAGTCCTTGGATTTGGTAAGTACTGAAGCCGTGCTGGATAAGGACTGTGCAGCTGGACTAGAGACGGATGTAGTAACCTCCAGTCGTGGAGGGTTAGGAGAGGGAAGAGTTTGCACCTCCATGGTAGGACTCAGGGTCTTTTCTTAAAGGAAAGAACGTAATCGCTGAAGTCTCAGTTTAATAGCTTGTTTAGAGAAGTTTCTACACACAGCGCATGACTGAGTCTGATGAGATTCCCCCAGGCAAAATAAGCACAGATCGTGTTAATCCGTTAGTGGGATTTTTTGGAGGCAAACGGAACACTTCTTAAAGCCCCGAGGGACAATAAAATAAAGGGAAGAAAATAAAATAAAATAAAAAGGGGGGAATCCAGAGGAGAAAGGGGGGGAAGTAGTGAAAGAACAGAATGGAAATCTTATCGGTACAAAGATAAGCAATAAAATAAACAATTAGAAAAATAAAACAAGGTAAAAAACATCTACAGAAGCTTGAATAAACTTTCCTTAATGCTCTACTGTTCCTCACATCCTAATCCAATGGTGGAAAAAAAGGAACTGAAAGGAACGTTGAGGAGGTGGCGAAAAGGAACTGAAAGGAAGGTTGAGGAGATGGCACTCACTCCCTGAGGGGGGGAACTAAATTGTTTCTTTTTCTAAGTTCTAGAATCTTCCAAACGTCTTGCGCGGGTGCAGAATAAAACCCATTTGTGTGCATTCACAGAGGCCACTACGAAGAAACAAAGAACTCTAGGTTGCTTCAATTCCAGTTCAGGTTAAATGTATCTACCTGTGGTCCAAGAGGATTAAAATAAAACAGCATTGTGTATACCATATTTAATATAATAAATATAAAAATAATTGCAACTAAAAATAACCATGCCCCCCCCCAAAAAAACACTTGGGGTCCTGATCCCAAATTGGGAACCTGTGACCTATAGGGAGCCTTGTTACACTGTAATGCACTTACAGTAATTCCTTTTCCTTCCCCCTTATGTTCCAGTTCTTATGACTACAGTGGTGCCTCGCTTAACGAGTGCCCCATTTAACGAAAAAATCGCATAGCGATGGCTTTGTTGCCATCGCTTTTGCGATCGCACAACGATCTTGCCTATGGGGAAAAATCGCTTTGCGATTTTTCCCCATAGGCACCATTTTCCCCCAGCTGAGCGGCGGG